ACATTCAAGTATTTCATATCCAATCTTTTAAGGTAAAATTCCTTACAAAGCACAAAAATGTCGGCATTCACCTCAAAAGCTAACCAAACGTTTAAACAGACTTATTCAGAAGGGATAAAGTTACGACACTGTTGTCAAGTCATTGAAGATGGCATATTTTGGTATTAATATTGATTCACTCATATGGTCTTTGCATCGGAAATAAACACATTTGTTCAAAAACCAGTTGTTGGCATGATACGGGTTGTGTTCTTCTCATATATGTTATGATGTTATAATACTAAACCCCTAACGGTAGGGATTGTGCTTGATTTTCATATGATGAAGACATAATCTTTCAATCAGTTTAATTGAAGTCTGGAGCTGGCATGTCAGTAACTGCTAGTAGTCCTTTGATTATATATGTATCATTGTCATTTTGATTAGTTTCTTTTGTTACCTATTCTGAAATCGGACTCGGACTTTTTTTAAACTGAGTTTTACTTTGCTTTTTGCTGTGTGTTTGTTTATTTTACATTGACTAGAGGTATAGGGGAGGGTTGAGATCTCACGAAACATTTTTAACCCCGCTGCATTTTTGCGCTTGTCCTAAGTCAGGAGCCTCTGGCATAGTTAGTCTTGTATGTTTTTTTTTTTAATTTTAGTTCATTTATATGTTTTGAAGTTTAGTATGACGGCCATTTTCACTGAACTAATACACATTTTTATTTAGGGGACAGCTGAAGCCCGCCTACGGGTGCGGAATTTTCTCGCTGTGTTGAAGACCCATTGGTAGCTTTCTGCTGTTTTCTGCTCTTTGGTCGGGTTGTTGTCTCTTTGACATATTCCCAATTTCCCTTCTCAATTTTATTATGCTTATTCGATTGTTTTCATGGCTTAAAACTTTAAGTCATATAGCCACATTGTTAACAGGATTATTTATTTTGTTACAAGACCATTTTATTCTCATTGATCATACGCTAAATATAACAGATTAAACAAACTCATGTTTCTATTTAAATCTTGCTAGTTTAAAAAGAATTATTTCGTTTTCAGAGGAATAGATAAGTCGGTTATCGAGTGAATGAAATTTCATATAATAATGAAAAGTCTCGCTCCCTTTTCAACATTTCCAACAAGTTTGTACTTCTATTATAATACAGATAACATGGATAAAGTTAAACAAGATCACTGGCTTCGATTATTTCATTGTGTTGTTGTCCGTCAGCTTGACAGTTGACTACGAGCACTTTCCCATCATTGTCTACTGATATGTACTTGAGTACGTTTTCATTTTTAAATGTCCATTGCATTGTATCTTGTGAATCATAACATGTAACGGAATTAGTTATGTGATTTGTATGGAAATTCTTTTCACCGAACGTTGCAACATAAGAGCCACTAGGTATACTTGTGTCCTGGACTATATAACTTGTCGAATATTTGTACGGATCAATCAATAGAATTCCACTACTGCCAGAACAAATCAATTTGGTATGCTTCACTTCTATACCGAATAAACAATTATCAACTGGTATTTGTTTCTCGACTCTTTTGCTTTTAAGTCAATTATTGTAATGTTATATTTTCTATATCCTGATGTTCAAGTCAGTGTGTTGTCATCATTGATGTACGCTATGTCAAATGATCCAAATATTGTATTCTCAAAATCCTTTGATTCATCATTGTTGAATACTCTGACAGTGTGAGTGTTATAATCGGAAAACTCCATTCTGCTATCTGGCAACATGCAACAATCGGAGGTGTTTTCCACATTAATGATTATAGTTGTCTGCAGCTTAAGATAAATATTTCGACTGACCTGCATAACCTGTGTAGCACCGTCCTTTCGGCTGTTTTGTTTTTCTGCATTTTCAGGACAACATTACATGGTATCTTTTTAATTATTACTTCTCGGTAATTCTTGATATTCGTATTAATGTTTTGCAAGGAGGTATGAGCATGGTATGACAAGTCTCAATCTTTAAAACTTACTGAGTCGATTATTGCATAAAAGGAAATCTCCTTTGTTAGAGACTTCGTTTTCTAACTGCTTAATATAAATAAATACCTCTAGTTTTGGGGCATGTTGCTGAATATTTTTCAGCTTTCTCTGGTATTCAGACATCTCCTTTTCTTTGTCCGTTAATAATGTCAACAACCTGCCAATTTGCTTGCTTTCTTCCTCTTCAGCTGCTTTCAACTTTTTTATTATGTCATCTTGTATTATTCTAAATGGTTATTGATTGCATCCCTGGTTTGTTTTATTTCTTTCTCAATCTGACTTTTCTTTTCTGATAGTTTCCGATGGTTGTTCTGTCGGCTATCTCGAATTCGTTGAATATTATCTGCTAATAAATGTTCGATCTCATTGAAAGCATTTGAAGATTTGGTGTTTTGAAGGATATCAGCCAGTCTTTTGGCATTCGATGTGAGTTTCTACAATACAACTACTGCACCAGAAGCATTTGTGTTTTTTACAGTAAATTGTAAACTTCTCAATATGTATGTCACATGTTAGATTGATTTCCTGCACATCGCTTTCCTGATACACAGTTATCGGCACGGTGTTATGGTATCGAGATGCCTTTAAAATAATATGATATTTTTTGCATTCTAGACAAAGTCCTTCATCACATTTTGTGCACCAAACTACGGATATACTAGTAATATGCTGGATATTGCATGCACTGCAGGAAAGAAATTGAAAACACCACGTTTAATAATTTCATGCGTCCGAAGAGAACGGGTACGGGTTTCACGTGTAGAGCAAGATCGGATAACCCTTCCGGAGCACCTGAGATCACCTCTAGTTTTTAATTGGGTTTGTGTTGCTGTCTTTAGTTTTTTGTGTACTGCTGTTTGTCTGTTTGTCAGTTGGTATTTTTCTTTTTTTAGCCATGGCATTGTCAGTTTATTTTGAACTTATGAGTTTGATTGTCCCTTTGGTTTCGTTCATCTCTCTTTTAGTCTAGAAGAAAATGATTTATGTGTTTGTTGTAAGGGTCTTTGAACTAGCTCTCAGTAAGTAACCGAAATTACTCTTCATCAGTGCTTTGTGTCAGTTGTTTTTATGTTAATCGCTTTTGGTGCTTCGTACCTATCTATTGAGTTGAGCACTTTGCAACTGATTTTTAAAGTTTGTTCTAATGTTGTGCTGTTAAACCAACATCAAAGGTTTGGGGAGGGTTGAGATGTCACAAAGATGTCTAATCCTGCTACATTATTCAGCTCTTGGATGGTGTAAACTTCCCACTAACACCATACACCATTACACCATTCACCATACACCATTACACAATACACTCTGTGACATTACACCATACACGTAACACTTTTTAACCATACACCTTACACATTACACCATAATACAATTTAATTTCAAAGAAAGCGTGCGACTACAAACATATTTATTGATCTTAAAAAACGAAATTTGATCACAATATTGTAAATTAATGTATAAAATCAAAAATCAGTTCTTATCAATATTTTGAATAGTTTTAAATGTCGTACACCACTCCCGATCGCACATTACACCATTCCCCTTACACCATACACCATAGCATTATACACCTGCTACCATTGCACCATACACGTGTTTTTTTTTTTTAAGTTTACACCATCCAAGGGCTGTATATATGCCTATCCTATGTCAAGAGGCTGTATCTTAGTGGCTGTTGTTGGTTCATGTCCGTCATATTTTTTTAATTTTATACATTAGGCTGTTAATTTTTCTCGTTTAGATTGTTTCACATTTTGCATGTTGGTGGATTTTTGTAGCTAACGAACGGTATTGGTTTTTCACTTTGTTTTATGCCGTACAGTGACCTATAATTGCTTATATCAACAAATTTTGAACTATGATAGATAGTTGTCTATTTTGCAATCATTTCGGGGCCTTTATAGCTGACTATGCTGTATGGGTTTTGCTCATTGTTGAAGGCGTACAATGACCTATAAATGTAAACTTTTGTGTCATTTTGGTCTCTAGTGGCGAGTTGTCTCATTGGCAATCATACCACATCTTCTTTTTTTATATTACATTTATACATATGAAAGAGTTCCAAAACCCTTCAGCTTTGACGTTTTCATTCGTATGACGTCATGTTTTGAAATGACGTTAATGCGCCATAAACATTCATGGAATTTCGCTGAGTTTTGATTTATTTTGATTTTGTACATTTTTCCAATCTCTTATGCCTCAGAATAAGAATAAAGGTTCTACAGGGTTTTTTATTTGTAATTTTTAACACAGCGAAATCGACATAGCGTTTGTACATAGGTTACGATACATGTGGATTTACGTGGGAGGTTTATTTGAACAGCCATTATTATGTACATCTCGGAGTCTGCGCTTTGTATAGATATACCGAGAATTTTATTACGGTGTTGTTTACAAAGCGAAAGAAGCACGTCATATTAGAATGATATTTAACTATGTAATGTATTTGTTATTTTGAACCATGTAATTTTATTCGCATATTACACGGATTTTGTACCATTCTGTGAGTATATTATTTACTTATTGAACTTATTTAGTTACGTACTTTCAAAAAATGGCAAACTTTGTAACATCGCTAATTTCTGTTCTTTACTCCCGTTATCCACGTTTTATAGATTGGATTTACAACCAAATATGGATGTAAATAAAACCGGAACAGGATTTCTTTGATTTTTAAAAGTCACTGTAATACTAGTATATAAACATATTTTCCCAATGCTATTTGTACTTATGTTCATAAATATCTTTGATGTTTATAGTTTGTCAGTGACACAACAGTCTACTATATTGGTAGTTTCCAAATGTGTTGATGTGTTAGTTAATCATAATGTTAGGATGGAAAACAATTAGGTAGGGATAACATGCTTACCAATTCCAACAGTTAAACAAGATTCCGCCCCTGATCAATGGATAGTTTGTAAATGTTCCATATGCTTTAATGTATCATTCTATGGATAACATATTTCTTTGAAAATGAACTTTCACAACTTCAATGGAATAACTAAATAATACATGTTGGTTTTCTTAGTTTTATCCCATGTGAGCTTTTCTTTATTCAAACAAAAGCAAAAAGCATTGCACTATTTCTACAATTTGCAACTAGTAACATATCTGTACTTTTACAATAATCAAGAGCATTGGGACCTGAAAGACCATCACTGGCTGTAAGTATTTCTTTGTGTTGTTGTCCATCAGCAGATATAACTACCACATTGTTAGATGTAGTCCCTGCTACGTACACGTTACCTACATTATCTACTGTGATACCACGTGCACCATTCAGGACGCTTACGTTTTTAAATGTCCATTGTACTGAACCGTGTAGATCATAACAAGTTATGGAGTTTGTTGTGCTATTTGTATGGTAAATTTTGTCACCAAAACGTGTAACGTAACAGAATTTGGGTAGTGTGTCGCGGACTATTTCTCTTGTTGAGTTGTTGTACGGATCGATCAATTGTATTCCTTTTCCAGATGCAGAACAAATTAATTGTGTGTCCTTCACTGCTATGCCATAACAATAATTAGTAACTGCTATGTCCTCCTTAAGTAGTTTGTTTTGAATGTCGATGATTGTGAGGCATTTTCTCTTCGACTCTCCTGATGTTACAGCCAATGTGTTGTCTTCACTAATGTACGCTATGTCAAATGCATTTGTTCGCAACCACATGCAAAAATCGTGTGAGCCGTCAGTGCTGAATATGTTGAGTTTGCTTGAACCATAGTATGTAAACGCCATATTGCCATCTGGTAACATGCAACAACCACTGGCATTATAATTTATGGTATTAACAGTTTTATATAGCTTTAGATTGATATGCTTAACTGACCTATTTGAGACGTGCGGTACCAACATTTGGGCTTGTTTATCTTTTCTCCTTGTAAGAATAACATCACAGGATTTCTTCTCAATCGTTATGTCTCCAAATTTCCTGATATCCGTAAGGAATTTGTGTATGAAATTATGGACATTATACGATAATACACTTTCTTTTAAGCTGTCTGTGTCGACCAATGATTGCAGGAATTCGTTTTCGCAAGAAACTTTGTTTTCTAATTGCTTCAATGACAAAAATGTCTGTAGATCTGTTGCATGTTGTTTGATCTTGACTATTTTTTTCTGGTATTCAGATATTTCTGCTCCCTTCCCATCTAATAGGGTAAGTGACAGGCTAATTTCACGTCTTTCCTTTTCTTCAGATGTATTTAACGTTTTCAGTACAGCATCTTGCATTTTGTCCAGATGATTGTTGATGGTGACCCGTGTCTCTTTGATTTCTTTTTCAATATAACTCTTTTTCTCGGATAACGTTTTCAAGTTGTTCTCTCGATTGTGTCGAATTCTTTGTATATTTTCTGCCAGATCTGCTAACGACTGTTCAATCTCAATTAAAGCCTCTGACGTTTTTGTTTTGTCGATAATGTCTGTTAGTCTGGAAAAGTCTCGGCAATCGATGTGATCTTCTACGACACAATTACCACAGCAGGGACATTTATGCTTTTTACAGTAAATTGTGTACTTCTCATTATGTTTGTCACAGTTTTGGGTGATCTGTTGAACATCTTTTGGTAATTCATGAAACTCGGTTATCGGCAGGGTATTATGGTTTTGAGATGGCTTCGAAACACGATGGTGTTTTTGACATTCCGAGCAAAGTCCTTCGTCACAATCTGTACACCATACTATTGGTGATTTGGTAATATTCTGGCGATCACAAGCACCACAGGACGGTTTTGATGTTGCCATGGGAAATGGTACTTAAAAAAAAGACATAAGTATGATGAAGTTGCCTCACTACTAATAACATTATTCTGCTTAAGGCTCCTCTAAACCTGAATACAATGCTTTTAACAATGAAGAATATCTAACTGACAAGGCATGTCTAATTAAAAAATATATGTCTTGGTGCAATTTCATCTCCAACAGAAAATATGTTCCTTTTACTTTTTTAATTTGTACACATTTAGGAAAATGACATGAAACATTTATTTTTTTTTCAAAAAATTAACAAGTAGTTTTTCTTTTTGTTATCCAGTCTGAATTTTAGTTAATCACCTCCATAATGATATTGGAGCCTTTTGAAAACGGCAAACCTGAATCGGGATCGAAGATCGTCTTTTTTTTATTTAGGTTGCACTTTGTGAATACAGCTGTTTATCAAACCACGTCTCTTTTTGGGAGATATATAATATTCATAGATAATTGGATTTGTTTACGTACTGGTTCCCATGTATGATCTCTTTATTTCATCTCATAACATAACGTTGGACTGTTACCAGTATAAAAACATATTGTTGCGGTGAAAATTGAATTATTAAGTAGGCACAAAGGGGAGGTAGGGGTAGATTAGAATTTTAGTATAAGTTTAAACTCTAACAAGTTCGGGGCATATAAATGTTGAAAATATGCCGCACAGCCCTATATTTTAACCTTTGAATAAAATAGTAGTGCATATCAACTTTCCATTCTAGGATATATTTTTTTACAAAACTTCATAGTAAAAGTGGCACAGTTTTAGCCGCAAAGGGAGTTCATTTGGGAAATTGCATTGTCTATATTTACAGAAATGAAACCTTCAATTGTAAATCTTTTTTTTTTTTTGCAGAATAGAAATTTTTTAAAATCAACCTTTATGAGAAATCTTTAATTTCAACAAATGATATAGCAATTTAGCACCTTTAAAAAAAATCCCGGTTGATTTTTCGATTACAATCTGTTACAACGTTGCGTTTTTGCACAAAATCTAAATAAATCTAAAAAATGTATAACTGTATGTGTATCTTTAATTTGTTATATTGTGATATAACCACTGACGATTACAAATGTTCAATATGTATAATATTTTTTTTGATTAACATCATTTACCAAATTTACAGTTTGAGGCAAAAATTGTTCTGAATATTTTTCAGATTGAATCTTCTGTATGTTGGGTACATGAAAAAATATCATGCAGTCATTCATTGTATATGTAATTGTCCTAAACAATATACAGCCAAGTGCAATAATCGATATTCAAGTGTAAGGAGATATTATCGAGTATCATTGCGTACAGTGAGTTTGTTTCCAGTAATTGTGAGTATTCTTTAATATTGGTAGCTACTATGTCTTTGTTTGTACTTTAATATCTGTTTTTCCATATCGAACATTTCCACTTCATATTTTCTATGTGTCTGTTATGCATATTTGTGTAAGTTTTAAAAAGGGAGCTGGTTTGGGTATCGGAAAAAGATAAGTTTGACTAATCCATTTAATGTACGCATCCGAAGTACGCTGTTTATGTTGGGTTTTTTTAGGAGGGGTTTATTTTTATCATTTAAAACGTATAGGTATTTTAGGTATCTGGTGTCGAATGCACATTATTGACGGTCTCTGATAAATATATTCCCAATTTATCTGATTCGGGGCGATTAAGAGCTTGACAAATTATAGAGTTACCAATCTGTTTTGAAGCCTTTATTTTGACTTTAAGATGTTTTTTTAATATTTTTTTTATTATTTTCTTGTTGGGTTGCTACTGCATTTATATATACTCAATATCTCTGTTTATTAATGAGAATATAAAATAATACTTGAGTTTGACTTGAGGTCGTCCAATACTGACTCGAACATTAATACTAATTGCATAATTCTGAAAACTAACTTAAACAGTGCTCCGAACTGGAATACGAACTGTTCACTCGATGAATTTGTCAGTTATTTTATCCCGGAGGCAGCACTGTTACACGATTAAGTACTGTAGGTTATGGTGCTACTTTTATTAGGATTGGAGCACACGATGTAAATCAAGTCCTTTACGACTTATCTATACTTATATGTGTAACATTGCATCTACTATACAAGACGACTTATCTGCAAATCATATCATTACATTGTATTGCTTGTAATTAGATGATGATTACCTCCCTTGCATAAGAACGTGTAACAACATGAACAACTTGTTTTAACAAATAAAATTAACAATGAAATCTAAATAATAGATGACCGATATCCGTTGATGAATATAAATATAACGTACTTACCTTAAATATCACCCACTAATAATGGTAAACTATGTGACTGTATTATTTTGCTTTTTATAATCCGCCCAACAGGAAGGTAAATAAGTGTATTGATAAATATATCAGGTGACTTGTTGTGACGATTTAAAAGTATAAAATTACCAATATGAAGTGATAATGGTGGTATATTTAAAAAGTAATTGATGAATGAATTTAACTTGCATTTGGTTCATGTTATTATAGAAAACTGAACTGCAGGTTCCGACGGCATTCCTGTGTAATATAATATAAATATAACATAATGTAATAATTTATGGTATATCGCCACTGAAAAAAATATTTTATGTACACACTCCACATAATGTATTTCAGAGCGCAGAAATATTCATTTAAAAAAAAGTTCGAGCTTTGAAAGAAAGATAAATATACCTTTGAAAGTTCATAAACCTAACTTATATATCAAATTCCTTCAGTTCGTTTCCTTTGTTTTTTTCTTGTTTCATTACAAAACCTTACTAAAGAGAGGCGAAAGATACCATAGGAACATTCAAAAAGTCAAAAATAAACTGCCAACGGAATGACAAAAAATTAATTAAAAGACCAAAAAGTAAACAAGAGTTTACCGTATACAAAACACAACATAGAAAAATGAAGACTGAGCAACTCGCAAACTACCAAGATATCCTGGGTGATCGCAGGGTCTCCAGAAAGGTAAGCAGATGTGTTTGAAACGTACCAGTCGAATGTGTTGCAAACGGGACATTTCGTTTTTGCTTCATACTCGGTAAAGAACTTATGCTGAATATTCAGTGGTGTATCTTTATTTAATCAATTTGAAAATAAGAGATAACAAGTGCCTTTCAAGGGCAATAAGTTATATAAGACAACAGTGTCTTTCTAGCATAACACATGATTGTGACGTAGAATACATTTGAACACATTGAAAATGCATTCAACTGGCGTTGCTACATGATTGTGACGATATTTGCATAAACTGGAGCAGACAGATAAAACTGTACACATCCAAAAAGTTAAGCAAGACTAAATCTACAAATAAATCAATGTAGCCGAAATAACTGTCAATCCCTTATATGAGTTATTGCCCTCGAAAGGCATTTGTTATCTATTCTTTTTTTTTATTTGCGAAATTGTGTTATAGATAGGCATTGTACACAGCATAAAGGATTAGCAAGACAACATTTACTAAAGTAATCATTGCCGAAATACACTGTTGATTCTTTAAAAGTTTAAGACATTGTTAACCCATTTTTGTGTTTTGTTTATGAATGTAGTAGACAGAGTACACAGAGATATTATTCCTTAAATGCGGGGAATGTGTCAAAATATTTGGTTATCGATTTAAACCGGTAAATTTTCAATTCAATACGTGATGTTGACCAGCTATCATAGTAATATTTACATATCTGTTCTTTGTTTTTTAATTTGGAATATCGAACATGTTTTAAATCATTTTTTGATCCAATAACTGTGATTATACGATCGATTAATAGTTGATTGATTCACGTTCAGTGTCAAATAATTCATGCATATTTAGGACAAGAAAAAAATGATCAAGCGATACAATATGTAGGTAATTTAATGCAGATGCCGTCCGGAATAAAAGTCGGGAAAGTTGTTTGCCAATTGGAAAAGGGTATGTTTATGTGGACAAAAATGATGCCTTGCATCAGACCATCACCGGACCTCGCATTTTCTGATATCAAATAAAAAACATTGTTAGTCTTTGTAACATCTTAGCTAGTCAAGGGTTACGATCTAGTCCCCTCTTCTCTATCTTTGGCGGATTAACAGAGAATTTCGGATCCATGAGATAATGCTTTCCTTTGGTCGCAGTCGTAACTGTCTGCATCCAATCAAAAAGGGAATTTAACATGATCACGTCTAAATGTACAATATGTAGATAAACAATGGTCACGTGCTGATTGTGCAACAAGTCTTTACCATCCAACACATACGACGATATTTAGAGACAACTTAAATGTTCTTAATCAACTAATTTAAGTTCCAGAGTAAGTTTCTTGCGCAAATGTTGGAATGTCAATGTATTTTTCGGTTCCTGCTTCATGAAGTTTGTAAACTCTAGACGCTACGATTTTTACACCTTCACACTGAAGAGAGTTCAAGTGCTGTCATTGGTCAAGAGTAATGTATTCGGAATGGTCGTGACTAATATCAACTCATAGATGGCGCAACATTGTTATCACAAATGTTGGCCTAATCTGACAAGGGTTGAGAGGAGGGTCTGAATCGTAACCCTTGGCTAGCGAAGATGTCTTTGGAAGAACTGGAGCAGACATTCACAGATCTAATGTGAAACTACATTGCAATAAGTTTCAAATAAATATAATAGGGTATGGAAACGGAGAACACGTGAACATGACAATAGACATATTGGTATAGTAGGTACTTGAAATAGACTAGTTTATACGAAAACTTTTGATGCAAGCAGATATCAAATTATCAATTATTTATGTTTACCATATTAGATGTAGTGAAGAGACACAAACATTGTATATATATTCCTAAATAGGTATTTAGCATTTAATTATATCATTCGATCATTTGCAAGGCCCAACTAGGATTCAATGGAGCCCTTGGTAATTTGTTCTCATTTGCCGAAAAATAATCAATTTCAATCTACTGATGATCTGCAAAAAAAATCCGAGATATATCTAAAAAAGGAGGTGCACATTATAAATGCATGTATTTCGTGCAAATTGGGAAGTTAAACATTCTCAGAGGAATTTGATACTCAAAATGGGTATCCTTATTTAGCACTCTCCATAGCATGTCAACCTGCCCCCACCCCCGTCTGGCCGCTAGCCTCATTTTCATGATGTAAAAAAATAGACGGGTTTTAATTGGACCCATCAGTTTTATACATCCTTTTATGCATCCAGTTTTCTTTGTAATATTTTATCATTGTTCTTTGTGTTTTGTTGTTTTTTTTTCTTTGAAATTACTTGGTCGGTTAAAATAGGTCTCATAAATTTTGAGAGCCGCTATGTATCTTCTTTCACTTCTTATCATTTTCTGATTTAAGGTATACAGGACATATATGTGATGAAATCAAAACATAAAGAACAAATAATAAGTTTGGAAAGAGTCGGGGTCGCTGAGATCAGATCATACAGGCTATAGATGGTAGAGATTCAATAATGGTATTGGAATAAAAATAAGTAATAATACAGTTGAAAGAAGAGAGCAAATTTCCGGAGTTTGCGTGTTTCGTCTTTATATTAAGAAGTCAATTGTTGAGTATGCAGCTTCTAAACTTCATTATGCCAGTCTAACTACTGTAACTATTTTTTAAGCAACATTTTTTCCGTATTTTAAAAATATAAAATCAAAACATACACTGCTTACGATTCATGCATCAAAAATTGTTCTTACAAAATTTAACAATTGAAATTGGCTATCCATTTTATTAAACAATGTTCAGTTGAAAGTTTGCCTTAGTTGTTTACACATTTTTGTTAACGCTGATATCTATCAACAACCGCAAATATTTCATCGTAAAATGTAACATTTGATTCAGGAAGTATAACATTTTTCATAACCAATGGTTTAATTTTGATATTATAACAACTTACTGAGGAATGCCAATATGTTTCCAATTAATAAGTTATTGTTATAACTTTTTCAAGTTCGTTTGCATAAATAGATACCCTGTAGTATCAGTCTTTTAAGAGTAAATTGAAATTTTTTGCTCATATAACTTTTGCAATCATCTCAGTACGACGAGCTTAGTTATAAATAAACATAACACTGAAAAAAATGTTTAAGAAGCGCTGGTCGGAATTAACCGGAAGCAAGAACACCCAAACATACACAAATTATACTCAGAACTTTACCAGAACGACAAGCGTAGTGGTAAGTTATAATTTGTGGGAAACATAATAAAAATATAATGGAATAAAATCCCATTTTGTTTACCATTTGTATGTGAATAACGATCACGTATGATTTGAAAACGAAGCGCTGGATTGACAAAACCGTTACAGAGTGTCACAGTATATGATATAGCAGTATGTGTTACAGTTTTTTTGTAAGATAGTACTTGACAAGCATCAACGTAGCAATGTAATATACAAATCAAGCGCTCCTCAGAATAAAGGAATGAAAAAGGCCGGATTGCAGTCTCCTAAAACTAGGACTAGAACTATTGTGTTTAATTTCTCGGTGCCACGTAAAGAAAAAAAAAGTCGGTTGAAGCTTTCGGTCAAATCTGATTAGTCTTGTTATTAGATGGAAACTGTGTCTATGGCTGATATTTTATTATATAAATATATTGTAGCAATTTATTACCTTCTTAACACAGGTCGATTTAGATCTATACATGTATATGTTGAATCGACCATGTTTGAAAGTTAGATACATAGTGTTGACCTCTATACCTATGTATTGTGTCCGTGTTATCATGCTGCTGTCTTCTTGACTTATACCATATGTATCATTGTAGTAATTTACATATTTATTTTTTGCAACAACATTATATAAATCAAGAAAAAATAATATTTTCATGTATTTCACACGCGAGCGAAAATAGTGCTTAAACTGTGTGGAAAAAAGACGAATGAATATTGCTCTGGCAAAAAAATCTAACCGATGTGTGATTTGCTATAACTACAAATTAAAAAAAAGTATAATTCAAGAAACCCTTCATATATTTAGAAATATAAAAAATACAGAAAGAGAGTTTCCTTCTTAGCCCCCACAAAATAAAATAGTTGCTGCCCTCTGGTTTCTCTTGTTATGGTGTTCTATTTGCATGAGATGAAACGGATATATCGCATAACTATATTAAAATAGGTTCAAACATACTATAAAATAATATACAAACAATAAAAAGGAAAAATATTAAATAAGATGTTGTACATGCAAAAGATTAAAACACTATGCGTTCATTTTTTTTTTATGTTTTTATAGCTTTGCTTTCACACAGTAAAAAGATAGCTAAAGTAGCCTCTTTATAGTGATTACATGTAATTGTGTTTGAATCGATCAAAGTACGAGAGAGAAAACAACAACAAGTAGATAGCTAACAATACAGACACACTGCTTCTTTTTATACTATAATAAAATTTACAACTACATTGGAAT